ATATATATATATATATATATATATTAATTACATACTGAATTTAAAACACAAACCCTACAAGAAGAAAAGATTGAATACATTATACCTGTAGTCTATTCTTGCCAAATCTACAGAAGTGGTAATCAAGTGCTGAATAATCCAGACAACTGCACATAACACAAATTTCATTTAAAACAAGAGCTGTTTAATGCACTATCTTACATGTCGGTCCAATCTGTAGTCTTAGCCTAGCATTAGTAAGGGTTCCTGAATAAGCAGATGTAATGTTTTGTAGATTTGTACTGCATCTCCTATCTTCTATTCTAAGAACGTCTAGGTGACAAAATGTGTAAGTCTCCAGAGTATTTATGATTAGGAATTAAAATCCAGACTCCAAGCTATCATCAGACAAATTTTTCATGACTTTTGCCAATGATTATATTTTTCTTTCCCTTTCACATAATATCATTTTACTTGACCATAGTGCAAACATTGCACGTAAATTACAGTCATCTATGATAAGCTTTAACCCCAAGTTTCCAAACTATTGCTAGTCATTTATATTACATTATCAATAAAACCTGCATAATGGGACTCCACTGAGAACTTCAAAGAGATATGGAATAGAGGCATTTGCAAACTAAGGAGGATCATATTTGATTTATATTTTGATTATTTCTTATCCCTAGATAAAAAGTGAAGTAACATTCATGTCTCGGGATAACAACTACAGCTCTGATTACTCTTGAAACAACTGACTGGAAGAAAGCCATGGAGTGAGGTGAAATTTAATAAAATATTGAATTAAAAATTGAACTTTTGGCTATTGTTCCTCTTTGAGGTTCCATAATTTATACAGTGTTGACTTTTTCAGTTGGAATTTATCGTTAGGAATTAGCTCATTGTTTTTGGTATTTCCTTCACTAAAGCAAAAATTAAACAAACAAATACTAAGGAAGCAACTAACAGTGAGGTTGTCCCAGATCTCCATGGGAGTCACCTGCTAGTTTATGCAATAATGCTTCCTAACATAAATTCCACAAAGATTTTCATACAGTGACTCTGGTCCTTGCATCATCAATGTAAAAATAAGTACTAGATTACAAATCAGTGGTGCTGTGAAGATTGGTTCAAAAATCACATTCATAGGATTATCTTTTACTAAATATAACGTGTATCCTATATTAAAATAATTGCCATCATTAAAAACAAAGGTTTTTTCTCCTCCTTCTCCTCAGCATATCAGGATAACCTTGTTAACATTGTGTATAGTTTTGATCATATCTACGTCAGGCACATGAATCCTATTATCTGTATAGTATAATTGGATAAACCCTTTTAAAAAAACTGTGAAATGAAAAGACCGCAATAAGGTTACTCCCTCCCCTTTGAACTGCATCACTCCTAGTTGACGTTAAACTCACAAAGCCAGGAAATAAAACGTTAGAACAAATGCAGAGACTCCTCTGCCTGTGAGCACGTAGTTGCCATTATCCCTAATGACGGTAACACTGTCATTATTCTCACAAGGATTGTGATTTTTGTCCTGCCCTGAAGGAGTCTGGCTTTTCTTTTTCTTCCTCTTTTCCCTCTTTTCATGCCATTAAAGGACACTTTCACTCAGACACTAGTTTTGCCCTCCTATTCCCTGTAGCAGTTTTGCACCTGTAAGATCTTGTGAACTGTGGTTGGTAACTGAGGAAAGAAGAAAGTAGAAAGTCCATCCAGCTGAACCACAGGATAAACATAATTTCCTCCAAGCATTTGCTCACTACATTTGCGTTTCAGAAGGAGAAAAATATACAGGGACTGTGCAAAGAAGACAACCGTCTTCCCTACTGTAATTAAAGCATGGAGAATGGTGGTAGGTGCTATAATGCTTGCTTCAACAGAGAGCAGGGAAGATTCAGAGCTGGGGTTCAGAAGCCAGGAACCAATAGGCAGCTATGAACCCTGGAGCTCCATAGGAAACTCTGCAAAGTCATCATTAAACATTCACTATATCGCTTAGTTGTCTTGCATTCTAAGGTACATGGGTTGCTGGTTGCAATGCAATGCTCTCATGGCAATTATCTCCAACAGTCAATGAAACAGAGAGATACTGGTTTTTGATTAATGACAAACATAAGATTGCCAGAACATGTTAAAGAACAAAGATGGGATTCATTGTTATGTGTTCATTTGGTGGTTACTTGGATGAGTAGTCTGATTTTGCCATGTAATAACGCATAAATTGCCATGGTATAATGTGTGGAATGACTTAAATTGCAATAATAATAACATATATAATAAAAAGTGGATGTGGCAATATCTGGAGACAGCAGAATAGAACAGAACTGGGGAAGATAACAAAATACAAAGCAAATAGATATAGAACAACAGTGGCAGTTGAAAGCAAAGGTAATACCAGTAGTAAAAAAGTGCCTTGGGTGCAATCCCAAAATAACTGGAGTACCATCGGCATTGACCAAGTCACCATCAGGCAATTGCAAAAGACAGCTTTATCCAGAACAGCTTACACCCTGTGATGATACCTTTAATACCATGAAACATCAACATCTCCCTATCCCAGGTCCTTGGGAAGGACTCAATGGATACTTTTAAATGCCAAATCTAGTCTGAACATCTTGGTGACCAAGTAGCAAACAACAACAACAACAACAACAACAATAATAATAATAACGGTTATTAAATATGTAAATTTCTCATTTCAATTCAGTTAATGCAGGAGTAAGATCTAGTAATTAGAACTTCTAAGTAATATTGCTTAAGATTGCAATTTTACTGCTGTAAGCCTATTTCATTTTTATATGTGCTATCAGTATCTTGTCTCTTTGTCCAACTCTGACATTGGTCATCCTAACTTCTTTTTGGGGAAATGCCAAGTCACATCAATGCAGAATTAAGGCAATTACTGATTTCCCAAACACGGGCACTTTTATATGAGCAACTCTCAGGACTATAACATACATTCAACAGGGTGTGTATTTTCCAAATCAGCCTATTACAGGGTAGCTGGATTATTAGCATGTCTTTTAAAATTTTAGAATAAGTACCATTCAGGAACTTTTGAACTTTTCTCTAGTGCTGAAAGATAACATTACATGCTTTAGTCATTTCATATATCACTTTATTTTAATCTTAGCTTTTCAACCTGCAGCAAGCCTCCTTCGCTTGGCATTAGCCTCTGAAATACACACACCTTTAAAGCACTTCTTATAGTACATATATCCTGTGAAAATGTCATGTCAATAAGATCATATGTATTATTGGATTAGAAGATCTTTTGGACAAAAGAGGTGTTATTTCATTGCCTTTTCACTCATTCTCACTAAGACCATGTCTGCAGGATGGCAAATAGCTGTTTAGATCCTAAATGTCAGAGGACAATGGGTATGTTCTCAAAGAACAGGCAAAGCGGAAAATAGGAAAATTCTACCCCTAACTTATATTACACTGAAATATTATCCAAGGATTATGACTTCTGATAATTGGATAAACTATCCATATGCTCTTGTTAATATTCACCTCATCTTTAAGCGGCATTAACCTTGGGGCACTATGCCTTTAATTACCAACCTGGCCTTGGCTAATTTTTAGAAATAAATATTGTAATTGGTTAATTTTAGTCAACTCCCCATAAAACATGATGCACTAAAAGTGTTTCTTCTTCAGCCCTTTGACCCACCTGAAACACTCTGCTGAAGTAGCCTAAGAAAGGCGTACTAGTGGAGCTTAGCCTATTTCTGAAACCTACAGAACATTCAGAATCAATGCTTTTTAAAGCCTTAATGCATGCAGACTGCAGGCATGGAAATCACATTAGCTTGGTCCATGTGGCACAAAGCACCAGATGTGATGATAAATGGCCTGTCAATCTCGTATCATTTACTTCATCCCTTTCAAGTGGCACATGGTTCACGAACAGATAAGAGATGCAGCAACAGGCCTGAAAGAAAGTATTCAGACTCCTATGCTACTGCGTGTGTGGCTCCATGTCTAGGAGTCTCTATCTGTACTGCGCAAAATGACAGTTCTGCCTCAAATTTATCGCCTCTATCTCCAGAAGATGTAGTCAAATTGACACTGACCTCTCATCTACATTTTGTATATTTCCTCCAACATCATTCACTGCCATTAACGACTGGAGTTGCAACAGTGTGATGTCATTAGAAACAGAAAGGGAAATATTAAAACCTAGCATGATGGTTGCAATTCTCCAATACATGAACCCCATGCCTGGGACCAAAGAGACGATGATGTCCATATCGCTGTATGGGAAAACAAAATATAGATCAATAGGAGGGCATCTGATTTGCTCAGACTTTCTAAGATGTATGGACTTCAACTCACAGAATTCCCCAGTCAGCATTAATGTTACTGAGGTTGAGAAAGATTGTTCTGGAAGGACTCCAGCCAATAATATATTAAAATTTAAATTTATATGCTGTCTGACCTCAACTGACTGGGTGTAAAAAGCATTAGGCCTCAAAAA